AAATTTGTGTTTTAATTAAACGGCAGCGCAAAGTACTAAGCGCAACATTTCTTAAAAATCAATTTTTTTTTCTTTAAACCGAATTCGAACGATTTAATCGCGCAAATGTTTGGTACGGGCGGTAAGAATTCAGATCATAATTGCCCTAAATGTGACGGAGTAGACAACGATGAAATGGTCCAGTGTGACGCCTGCGACGCCTGGTATCACTTTCATTGCGTTGGAGTCGACAGCAATGTGGCTGACATAAGCTGGAGCTGCGAGATTTGTAGGCACGGCGGGTCAACTGCGAACGCGCAACCGACAGCATCGTCATCGCCAACTACCAACCAAAGTAAACGGCAAGTGCATTTTCCAACATCGGTCTCGACAACAGCAGGGAAAGCAGATTTCCCGCGCAATCCGCAACAAAATGTGGTTGCTGCAACCACAACGGTTGCGTCTTTAACAACCGCCACGAATATGCCAGTACCAATTACGTTTCCGACTATGCTACCTGCCACCGCCACAAACTCATCGCTGTCAAATTTAACATCTGCATGCTGGGATTTCCAACCCACTGCACCACATGCCTCATTGCAGGGCCGCCAATTTCCCACGATGACAACCGGGCGTTATTCAACGCTTCCGGCAACGGCATCTTTAAAAGAAGTCGTATCTAGTAACATAGCATACTCTTCAGCAGATACCATGTCTCGCGAACCGGAAATAGTTGAAAGGCAAGGTGCACCAAATGTACATTTGGCACGGACGCCTCACAATCAGGAGGTACACAGAAAGCTCCAGCTAGAACGTTTGGAGGAAGAGATGAGGATTCAGCAACAGTACTTGGATAACAAGTACAAAATTCTATCTCAGTATGACGAGTTACTTCCAACGAACAATTCATTTTTTACTGTGACCAACAGTCCTTCACCGTCACAATTGGCCGCAAGACAAGCTATCCCCAAGCAGCTCCCGACTTTTAACGGAGATCCGGACGAGTGGCCGCTTTTCATTAGCAGCTTTGAAAACAGCACAACTGTCGCCGGGTACACCGAAGCTGAGAATTTGATACGACTACAAGCGAGCCTTAAAGGTAAAGCGCGTGAGATGGTAAAGAGTAAACTGTTTATGCCATCCATGGTACCTGAAATTATCAAAACCCTCAAGATGTGTTTCGGTCGACCGGAGTATATTCTGGAGCGGGCGGTGAATCGAGCTCGTGGTCTTCCGCCGGTGAAAGACAAATTAGAGGCTCTTATTGAGTTTGCACTTTGTGTGCGAAATATTTGTACTACCATGGAAGGATGCCAAATGTATATGCATTTACATAACCCATTGTTGGTTAAGGAGCTGGTGGACAAGCTTCCAAACAATCAAAAGCTAAGCTGGGCAGTTCACCCTAAAAACGATGAAATACCTGTAGTGAAGCAATTTAGTGAGTGGTTGTACAGCTTAGCTGAAGCCGCAAGTACCGTAGTCAGCTTAGCGCCAACTAATACGCGCATGGTCAACACTCATACCGTCGATATGACCCGAGAACGTATGCAAGCAGAACAAAGAGCAGACCAAAACAAGCAGTGTAAAGTTTGCAAGAGCTACGAACACAAAGTAGCGCAATGCGAAGTCTTTAAAAATTTTTCACTACAACGCAAGTGGGAAGCAGTGAAGGCTAACAACCTTTGTCGCCAATGCCTCAACCCACATAGACGCAAATGTTACTTAAACAGGATCTGCGGTAAAGATGGATGTACAGTCAAACATCATCCTTTGCTCCATAAATCGGTAATGAACCAAAGTAAACCAGTAAGTACTGCAATTGAATTCTCAGATGCCACGGTAAACACCCACAGCAACGAAAGAAACCAACCTCTTTTCCGAATCGTGCCAATTTATATTCATTCCAAAATCAAAACAATAAAAATATTTGCATTTTTAGACGAGGGCTCATCCGTCACGTTAATGGAAAGAAAGATATTTGATGAACTCGACTTGGTTGGTGAACAAGACCCTTTATGTCTGCGATGGACAGGAAACACTACGCGCGTTGAGAAGAACTCTGTAAGGGCTGCTATTGAAATTTCAAGTATGACAAATAAGCGAAGGTATATTTTGAATAACATTCACACCGTCGACGACCTCGATCTACCGGCACAATCGATCGACGCGTTTGAGTTGCAGAAAATGTATCCACATGTAGCAGGTCTACCGATCGCCTCATATGAGAACGTTAAACCATCGATGTTAATCGGCGTTGATAACTGGAAGCTCGCGGTTCCTCTCAAAATAAGAGAAGGAACTTGGTCACAACCCATAGCTTCGAAAACTCGCTTGGGGTGGGCGCTGCAGGGATGCGACGTTGGTTGTACGGAAGAATGCCTGCTTAATGTCCACACCTGCGATTGCCGAAAAGGTTACGCTGAACTGCTGGAAATGGTAAAAGATTTCTTTAAGATAGAATCTCCTAAACCAACACAAGTAATGTCGAAAGAGGACGCAAAAGCCGTAAGTATTATGAACGACACGTACCAAAAGATTGGCAACCGTTATGAAATTGGGCTAATGTGGCGCGATCTTAATGTCTCGCTACCAGACAGCTATTCTTACGCTCATCAACGACTGAAATGTTTGCGAAAAAAGTTCATTAAAGATCCTAATCTAAAATATACCATACAATCACAGATCGATAATTTACTGGCTAAAGGATACGCCAAGAAGCTCACGGAAGAGGAGGTTGCAGCACGTGGTGGAAAAATATGGTATTTGCCAATTTTTATTGTAAGCAATCCGAACAAGCCTAGTAAAGTTCGAATGGTGTGGGACGCGGCTGCGAAGGTGAATGGAGTTTCGCTTAACGATTTTCTACTAAGCGGCCCAGACTCGCTCAATTCACTAGTTGAAATTTTGTTGTCATTTAGAGTCGGCAGAGTAGCGATATGCGGCGATATTGCAGAGATGTTCCACCGCATTAACATCCGGGAGAGTGACATGCACGTCCAGAGATTTTTATGGTATGATGAAGGCGATGAGCAACAGATACCCAGTGTTTATGTTATGCGAGCATTGACATTTGGACTTAATTGCGCGCCATGTATCGCACATTTTATTCGTGATAAGAACGCGGATAGTTACACTGACAAATTTCCCCGTGCTGTGGAAGCTGTTAAGAAATACCACTACGTAGACGACTATATCGACAGCGAAGATGATTCAGAGTCCACTTTGACTCTGGCTCGACAAGTTCAGAAAATTCACAGCAACGCTGGGTTCAACATTCGTGGTTGGTCATCGAATTCACGAGCCGTTGTAGAGCAACTCGAAGAAAATGGTTCTTTGGTTCAAACTGGTAAGGAATGGGGCTCAACGACGAAGGTTCTTGGAATGTTTTGGGATCCCAAATGTGACAGCTTTAAATATATTTGCCGATTTGCAAGACTCCGTCGCGACGTGATTAATCAACCGTTTATCCCTACGAAGAGGGAGCTTCTTCAAGTCTTGATGTCTATCTTCGATCCATTGGGATTTGTAAGTTGCTATACCATTGGCTTAAAGATTATGTTACAGGACGTGTGGCGCGCGGGCATCGGCTGGGATGAGCCGCTCACTGACAATCTGCATGACAAATGGTGCCAATGGAAAGATGTTATGCCATTTATAACAGCAGTTGAAATTCCCCGGTGCTATTCCTTGCTGCTGAAAGATGCTGACGAAGTCCAACTTCATACCTTCGTGGATGCTGGAGCGAGCGCTTACGCAGCCGTCTGCTACTTACGAGCGAAAAGGGGCAACGACGTTACAGTAGCTCTCGTGGCCGCGAAATCAAAAGTTGCGCCACTGAAACCGCTATCGATCCCCAGGTTGGAGCTGCAGGCTGCAGTGATTGGGGTCCGACTAGCTAACATGGTGAGCAACGTACATCGCATTGGTATAACATCTAGAGTTTGGTGGTCAGATTCGAAAACGGTCTTGCGATGGATTCGAATGGACCCAAAAAATTTTCACCAATACGTCATGCATCGAGTCGGAGAAATTCTAGAGACATCGAATGCGGAGCAATGGCAATGGGTGCCCTCAAAATCGAATCCTGCTGATTTTGGTACAAAAATTCACTCGAAATGCAACCGTCAGCAGTGGTTCAGTGGTCCAGAGTTCTTGATGTCAAACCCGAAGGAATGGCCGAAATATAACGAAATCAATCAAGATGACATCGATTTGACAGAGGTTAAGCATTACGTTTTGCACGCTGCGAAAACTCGCGTGCGATATCCGATCTTGAACGTAGAGTACTTTTCTGATTGGAAACGCCTTTACCGAGCTGTAGCTACGTTTTTACTATATATTGACAGACTGCACGCACTTGCAACAGGTAAAAAACCAAAAACTACCATCAGTTTCGATCAGATTCAACAGGCTCAGCGCTTTCTGATCAGGTATGCACAGGACTCTGAATTTAGTAGTGAAAGAAACTTGCTGAAACACGGTAAGCCTATCGAAAAGTCCAGCAAATTAATTTCAGTCAATGTTTATTTAGACGCAGATGACATAATCAGGAGCAAAGGCCGCGCTGAGCATTTAAACAATCACGAAGACATCATAGTATTGCCGAATAGCAACTACATTACTTTTCTAATAGTGCGCTGGGCTCACGAACGTTTTCATCATCAGATGCACGAGTCTATAATAAATCAATTGCGTGGGCGATATCATATAAGTCGGCTAAGGGTATTATACCGGAGAGTTCGCCAGAGTTGTCAGAAATGTAAAAAACGCTGTTGCGGCTCCACAAGCACCACAAATGGCAGCACTACCCGCCGCAAGACTCGCCGCTTTCGAAAGGCCATTTACATATGTCGGCATCGACTACTTTGGACCACTACTCGTTACCGTTGGGAGGAGGCGCGAAAAAAGATGGGGCGTGTTGTTTACATGCCTAACTCTTCGGGCAGTACACATCGAGATCGCGCACAGTTTAGATACAAGTTCGTGTATCATGGCAATACAAAACTTCGTTTCACGTCGCGGATATCCGAGAGAATTTTTCTCGGACAACGGTACTAATTTTAAAGCATCTGAAAAAATAATTTGTTTAAAGAACGTCAATTTCCCAGACATTATATCTTCCTTCGAACAAATAAAATGGCAATTCAACCCGCCAAGTGCTCCTCATATGGGAGGAGTATGGGAACGACTAGTGAGGTCAGTAAAAAATGTACTTTTTGAGATACTTCCTTCTACAAGTTTTAGCGATGAGAGTCTGCTAAGCGCTTTACATCAAGTGGAATTTATCATAAATGCGCGACCGCTTACGTACGTATCACTGGACAGCTGTGATGATGAAGCGCTAACACCGAATCACCTACTACTTGGATCGTCCGATGGATACAAGCCTATTTGTACCGAAACCTGTAGCTTGAGGCAACGTTGGCGTCTGACCCAACAATTCGCCGACCGGTTTTGGCATCGTTGGGTCAAGGAATATGCACCTATCATCTCACGTCGTAGTAAGTGGTTCAACAAAATACCCCCTGTGCGTATTGGCGATGTTGTAGTGATAGTCGATCGCGATTTGCCGCGAAATTGCTGGCCCAAAGGAAAAATTGTGGACGCCATAAAAGCAAAAGATAAACAAGTACGGAGCGTGATGGTTCAAACAAAATCCGGGGTACTTCATCGACCAGTTGCAAAGATTGCGGTATTAGACGTCGGTACTGAAGAAGGAGTAAACGCGTGATTCATAACTTGTTTACGGGGGAGGGAGTGTTACCGACAAGAATATAAATATAATTGGATCGCCCTATATATG